GAAGTTTTTATATATTCACAGTAGGAAATGTACAAAATGATCTTTACTTAAAATCCTAATGATTTTTGGCATAAAAGAAAAATCTATAATTTTGACCCATACAGTGTATTTTTGGCTATTGCTACAAATATACCCCAGCGACTTAAGACTGCTTCTGTGCTCCAGGGTCACATATTATCATTTCAATTAATGATTTAAACTATTTTTTTCTGTGTTTTACTCCAGCAAGCGGAGGTACCAGAGGACAGTGACGATGAAGCTGACCCAGACGAGGTGTTTGGATTCATCAGCATGGTGAACCTCACTGAGAGACAGGTGATAATACTAGTATTTATGAGTGATAACATGAATATCTCATGAGTTTGCGGCTCTGGATTGTGCTGTTTGTGTCCCGTCTGAGAGTCCTCTGTGTGTTGATCAGGGTGTGGAGTGTCTGGAGAAGCTGAAGGACATGCTTATAGAGCAGTGTGCTAAAGCCAGCTCCCCGGATGTTCAGGAGGGGTTCGAGCAGCTGCTGCTGGGTAACGGACACTCTGTCGGGCTGCTGCTGAGCGAGAGATTCGTCAACGTCCCGCCACAGATCGCCCTCCCCATGCACAAACAACTTCAGTAAGTGTTTAATGGTCCTGACCAGCAGAGGGAGTCAGAGTGTGTGCATCTGAAAATAATACAGATAGGCATGTACAAATACATGTACAATTACAGAACTTTCAAAATTTCTTAAAGCAAGACACTACATGCAAAAACATTGTTTTTTTTTCATGCACTGGTCAGTTTTGAGATTTTGGTTTATTTGGCTGTTCCTAATGTGTTGTTCAGACTAGTGGAGAGAAAACTACTGAAATACACTTGAGTGTTTATTTAATTGCACTATTGCATCTATTAGTGTCTGTAGATTTCAGCTGCAGTGCATATCTTTAAAGTGCTTTCAGCAGCACTTACACTGCCGGTCAAAAGTTTGGGATCAGTAAGACTTGTAATGTGTTTAAAGAAGTCTCTTCTGCTCATCAAGGCTGCATTTATTTGATCAAAAATACAGAAAAAAAACAGTAATCTTGAAAAATGTTTTTATAATATAAAATAATGGTTTGTATTTTAATATACTTTAAAATGTAATTTATTTCTGTGATGCAGCGCTGAATTTCCATCAGCCATTACTCCAGTATAAAGTGTCACATGATCTTCAGAAATCATTCTAATATGCTGATTTATTATTAGAATTATCAACAGTTGTGCTGCCAAATATTTTTTTTGGAAACTGCGATACTTTTTCAGGATTCTTTGATGAATAAAAAGTTAAAAAGAAGAGAATTTATTTAAAATATAAATCTTTTCTAACAATATAAATCTTTGCCATCACTTCTTAACAATTTAACACATCCTTGCTGAATAAAAGTTTTAATTTATAAAAAAAAAAAGAATAAAAATGTACCGACCCCAAACTTTTGAACTGTAGTGTATATTGTTAGAAAAGATTTCTATTTTAAATAAATTCTCTTCTTTTTAACTTTTTATTCATCAAAGAATCCTGAAAAAAAAGTATCACAGGTTCCAAAAAAAGTATTAAGCAGCAGAACAGTTTCCAGCACTGATAACAAATCAGCATATTAGCATGATTTCTGAAGATCATGTGACACTGAAGACTGGAGTAATGATGCTGAAAATTCAGCTTTGATCACAGAAATAAATTAGATTTTAATGTATATTAAAAATAGAAAAACGTTATTTTACATCATCATAATAATTTGCAATATTAAATGTTTTCCTGTATTTTTGATCAAATAAATGCATATACTTGATGATATATATATATAATTTACTTGTTGCTCAGGATAATGATCAATGCTTATTCCTCTAGCTGGACTCTTTTTTTGGATCTGATTTATTTCCTGCCTCTTCATCCTCATCCTCATCACCTTCATCCTCCTCCTCCATCTCCACCCCGTCCATGGTTTTCTGCAGCTGTAGTTGGATTCTCTTCAGCTCCTGCAGTCCGTCCTGCAGCTCCTTGCAAACCTCTCTGATCTTGGCGGCGAACTCGGTCTTGGCGCCCTTGCGCAGCTCCAGCGAGCCCTTGGCGAGGAAGAAGACGTCGAGGGCGAGGAAGAGGCCCGACATGACGCCGCTGGTGACGCTGATGACCTGCGCGGCTTTGGCGGCTCCTCCGGCCACGCTGAGCACCTGGACGGTGTTGATGAGGCTGTCGGTGTTCACCAGCAGCGCTTTCCCGGCCCGGCCGCCCTCCTTCAGCACATGCTTCACGTTCTGGTTCAGAGCCCGTCTGGAGATGCTGTCCACATACTGCTCAAAGTGCCACTCCTCCAGAGTCTCCATCCCGGCCTACAGCGATGCAAACCGTTAGAGGAGAGACAAGATAGTTAGATAGTTAAAGGGTTAGTTCACCCAAAAATGAAAATTAGCCCATGAATTACTCACCCTCAAGGCATCCTAGGTGTATATGACTTTCTTCTTTCAGACGAATCCAGTCGGAGTTATATTAAAAAATGTCTTTGATCTTTCAAGCTGTTTAATGGTACTCAGCGGGTGTTGAATGCATCAGTCCAAAAGAAGTGAAATAAAGCGCATGCATCCATAATAAAAAGTGTCTCACACGGCTCCGGGGGGTGAACAAAGGCCTCCTGTAGCGAATCGATGCATTTTTGTAAGAAAAATAACCATATTTAAAACTTAATAATCACTTGAATCTAGCTTGCGTTCACTGTTGTAAACAGAAGTAGCTCCGGGAGGATGACGTAGGATGTCGGCGTTGCGCATGCGCCGCTCAGAAGTGACGAACGCGGAAACGCAGCGGAGAGATCAAAACAAAACAACGGTCACTAATTAGAAGTACAAAACAAGGATTTGTAAAGAAGAATGTCGGAGGATTTCGATATAAGCCGAGAGGAGACTGGTTTTCCTTTGCTAAAGTAAGGAAACTTTGCTTCCTTTGCTCCTGTAAACAAACGTTGGTTTTCACGAGACTCAGCGGCGCATGCGCAACGCTAACCTCATATGTCATGCTCCCTGGCTTGAGGGTGAGTAAATAATGGGCTAATTTTCATTTTTGGGTGAACTATTCCTTTAACAATCCTATTCATTTTCTCCACAGGGGAACTGATTTTTAACGGTACCTTATAAACCATTAAAGACAGACCTACTGTGAGCTACGAGGTTGTTAATCAATGATATATGCTTTAGTCAAAGCCATCAGTCCGCATTATTTTTAAAATAATCATTTAACAGTGGAATTGTTGGTGAAAACCTACATTACCCGTGATTCTGCAAACAAAACTCGACTAAACAGAGAACTGCAAAGCAAACTGGGCCAAAATAACTCATGAAGTACAGTAAATCGCCCTGTGCTCTCAAACTACGTAAATATTTCTATATATCTCAGCGGCTTGTAGGTGTAATGTAATTTTAACTGCTCCATCATTCCAATATAATAATAATAAAAGAAGAAAAAAACTATATAAACATATGAAAAGAAATAAAAGCTAAAAAATGACAAAACCAAGCAACAAAAATACTTTAAAATGAAAATACATAAATAAATAAAATAATAATTGTAATAATATAAAAATAATAAAAACTGTTATAGTGTATCAATGATTATAAAATATACTATTTATAATTAATTTACAAATATACTGTTAAAAATAATACCATCTATCCTTCTTCTGATATAATAGTAAATGTATATATAAAGCAGATGTAAAAGAAATAAGAACAAAACTAAAATAAAAATAAAATATACAAATAAAAGCTAACTAATTAAAAAAAAAATGACAAAAAACGTCAAACTAAAAAACTTTATCAAAATTTTTTTTTTGACAGTATTTAATTGCAGTAAAATTTGACAGAATTTAATGACAGTAAAAGAGACAGAATTGTACCGAATATAGTAAAGAGTCATCAATCAATCAATAAATGTGCCTCACCTGGAGGAAGTCCAAGCATTCTTTAATAACTTTAACTTCATGCTGATAATCTTGGATCATCTTCTCCACCTTCTTCCTGTCCGTGTTGGAGTGAACCGTATCGGTGATGTTTGCCGACGCTGACGTCACTCCGCCGGCGGTCGCGACCCCGATGCCCACCGCCGTCACGATGAGGGACGTCCCGAAGGTGAAGGGCGCCAGAACCAGGCCGGTGATGGTGGTGATGCTGCCGGCGACGCTGGCCACCCCGCCGCCCACGCTCGCGGTCACCGTCTTCCTGTGGAAACTGTCGGCGGCGTCCGCTAGCGACAGCAGCTCCCGTATGCGCCGCTGCAGCGACGGCTCGCGCTGAGTCAGCAGGTGAACGAATAACTTGGCGGCCATGAAAACCCGGTTAGCGGCGGCTTCGATCGCTCTGAGAGCGAGAAGGAAACAAAAAGTTATTTTACGTCACACTGGTTTTGATTGTACGCAGATATGCTGCGATACAAAGGTAAAGTTTGTGTAGAGTCAATGCAGCCTTTCACAAATGTCACAGAAACCCTGCACCAGCAAATTATCACTTGTGAATAATATTTTTAATCTTTATATTTTCTGTTTTCATTTTAATTGCACTTAAGGATTTAGTTTTGTTTAATGCTTTTTAAAATTTTATTTCAGATATAGTTTAGTTATTTTAGTAGCTAGGCCTACTTCAACTAAATGAAAATGAGTTATGTTGCTTTGGCAACTAGCTGAAATAAAAATGTTTATTAACCCTCTGGTGCTGCTTGTGTGACTGTCAAATGATGTTTTTTTCATGTACTATATTTTAGTATATATATATATATATACATACACACACATGTTTGGTTCTTCAAAATATCTTCTTTTGTGTTCAGCATAAGAAAGAAACTTATACAGGTTTGGAACGACATGAGGGTGAGTAAATGATGACAACATTTTTGGGTGAACTATTTCTTTAAGTTTGGTCCCTTTTTAAATATTTTTTTGGCAGATTATTGTTTAAGTGAAATAAGTTTCAAAAATGTGATATTAAAAAAATGTAGAAGTGTAAGTTTATTGTTATGGAAAATGCTAAAAAATACAATTTTCAAATTTTATATGATAAAATTTACATTTATTATACTTTAAAAAATAACTTCTAATTTAAGTGAACTTAAAACAATCTTCACATAAACCCATT